GACGGCGCTGGGGGCCCGGCGGTGAAGCTGGGAGCCTGGGAGGAGGGGGCGCGGTCGGGCCTGCGGCCCCGGTTTGGCGCAACCTCGCTGATCCTCATCCAACTGCTTGGTTCCCTTGCTTCGTGTGCCTTCCCGGACCTGGGTCGCTAGGCCAGGTCTCAGCTTTGACCAAAATCTTAGCGCGCTTTGGGGAATTTACAGCCTGGGACGCACCGGGGGGCGATGCCACGCCTGAAAGTGTGTGCCCACCTCCTGGAGGGGCTCCGATCTGCCACCTCCAGTTAATGTGCTCTGGGTATGGTGGCTTCGGGATGCCACAAGGAAAGTCCCCTAGCTCTCTAGCCTTCTTGTTGTGGGACGTCGACTCCCAGCGCCCCGAAGGAACACAGTAGAATTGCCCCCTGAGGATTTTCTTGGCTGTCAGCCTTTCGGGAGGGAGCGTGGTCAAACCTTTCTTCTGCAGAAACTCAAGTGGGTTTCAGCTGCCCGCTTTTTTGGTTAGGAGCTGAGCACGTAGGCAACCCTTTGGGGTCAATTCTCTGATAACATATCTAAACCTAATCATTAAGGAAATGGCACTCGACCACAATAACTTTTTTCCCTTTAAATTTTATGTGGCATTGCTCTAGAGAATGTACCCAGCAAACAAGTCAATTAGCAGTTGTACACCTACCATTTACTGACTGATTGCATGCATTGCGTTATGCAACCATCCTCCTCCTCGTTTTGAGTTACTCCTCCCTGTTAACTCAATGCTCCCTAAAGTTCCCATTTAATCTCTTGTGTTGCCATTGTCAATTTGACCCCATCTTTGATAGTTCTGAAAGGTAGCTAGATTTAGGGACAAGTGGGGTTGTCTCCCCAATCCTGCAAAGGCCCATCTAGGGGGGTTGGAAAGAGATCAGACAGCCCTTGGACACCTCTGGAAAGATCCAAACTGAATGTGTACAGCCTAGGACCCCCTAGCACAGATGAAACTTAAAACCTAACCTCCACCTAGGACCATGACCTCACCCAGGTGGGTTTAATCACAGTCCATGAGGTCAACCAATACCTTCAACTATGCCTCCCCAGCCAGAGGTGTTAAATACCCCAGGTGCGGGAAGGCCAGCCCTCTTTTTACTCTGCTCCTCTTCAGCGCAGGTGGAGGGTGGGGTCTCACCTACATGCCCCCTCAGGACCCGCTGCCGGCCTGCTTGGGGCCACATGCTCTTGGTCTCTGGGTCACTAATGATTAGTCGCAGGGGACCGCATTGCGGTGGTTTACCGTTGGGAGGTTGTTGGCCCTAACCACGTGGAGTTGGTTTTTTGATTCCTTGACAGTCAGGATCAGACAGACGTCCAGCCCTACCAAACGGTAGTCCAGAAGACGGCTACCCAGTGAGTGTAAGGGCCTCTGGATACGCTCACACAGGGGTCCCTTTTCCACATTCTCAGTTCTCATTTTCCAGGCCCCTCCCCAGTCCCCGTTGAGGATGCGTGGGCACACAAAGATAGCGGAGGTGGCAAGCTGCACTAGCCAGGCATCAGACTCCGAGACACGGGGTCCCTCGTGACGGTCACATTAAGAACCACGTGTGGCGCTATGGAGATACAGACAGATTCTAGATCCAAACAGGACTAAACAAAAATGTAAATGGCCCCTAAGAGCCCCGCTGAAAAATGGACCATTGTTCAGCGGTATTCATAGCTAGTCCTAAAGGCAAATATGAGCGCTAGGACTCCTTGGGGCATTCTCCAGAGGTGACAGGTCATGAGGGGCTGGGTCTCTGCAGAGCCGCAGGCTTCGGCTGTGAGTAGTCAGCTTCCAGCTCTGGCAGTGCGTCAGGCCTGTCGCCGTTCCCAGCAGAGGCTCTCCTCTCACGGGCAGTCTGAGTGTTTCAAAGGGTCTGGCTGGCGGTCCACGTAGGGGCAACTGGGATGTGAGCTTTCTACTCTCGCGTGACGGATCCACGAAGCATGCCCTGTCACTTTAAACGCAGTTGGGGTTACCAATGTTACGGAATGAGTCCTGATCCATGCCGGCTTTAAGCGTCCCAGATTCCCGTTTTTGACCTACACTGAGTCACCGGACGGGGCGGCGGTGAAGCTGGGAGCCTGGGAGGAGGGGGCGCGGTCCGGCCTGCGGCCCCGGTTTGGCGCAACCTCGCTGATCCTCATCCAACGCTTGGTTCCCTTGCTTCGTGTGCCTTCCCGGACCTGGGTCGCTAGGCCAGGTCTCAGCTTTGACCAAAATCTCAGCGCGCTTTGGGGAATTTACAGCCTGGGACGCACTGGGGGGCGATGCCACGCCTGAAAGTGTGTGCCCACCTCCTGGAGGGGCTCCGATCTGTCACCTCCAGTTAATGTGCTCTGGGTATGGTGACAAAATCCCTTAGTACTGAGGGGTAAAACTAAAATCAGGATGACTGGACACTGTGTCAGGTCAAATGGCCATCCTTTGGAGTTGATGGGCTCCCGGAGGGCAGACTCAACCTACAGAGATCTTTTTATTCAAAATAGTATTTGTGGCTAAATTTTGTAAACAGTCCTTTTGGTGTCACCTCC